TGCTGCTGCTTTACAAAAGGATTTAGATTATTTGGTAATTTGAGTGAATACTTGACAGATGGCCTTTAATTATAATATATGCAAGGTAATGCATGTGATTTGTCATAATTTGAATTATAATTTTGATGGAAATAACCTTACCAGTAAAAATAAAATAATCTTGGTTAGTTAGTCTCTTAAGTCATCTAAGCAATGCACTGTTGCTAATAGTAGAACAAATAGGATTTTAGGTTGTGTTTACCAAAATATTGAATACAAATATATAGAAGTTATTTCATTGTTTAGGTCACTAATTAGGTCTCATTTGGAGTATTATGTTCACTCTCAACTCTTACCTTTAGAAGGACATTAAATTGTTGGAAAGGGTCCAGAGGAAGGCTACTAGAATGATACCTGGGATAGTGAGATTGCTAAAAGAAGACAGGTTAAGATGTCTGAAATTATTTTCTCTTGAAAACAGAAGAGTTAGAGAAGATCTGATTTAGGTGTATAAGGTTGTTAAGGGATTTGATAGTGCTTATGCATCATCTATTTTTGTACTTAATGGTGAGAATAGTAGGACTATACATAAATATAAATTTAACTGGGTAGAAGGCATCATCAGCTAAGACAGCTTTATTTTTCTAACATGACAGTTGCTCTTTGGAATGAGTTGCCATCAGGATGTGGTGAATGCAGTATATTTAAGGGAGTTTGAGGGAAGGTTTGATAAATATTTGAATGATATGGTCTGGCTTTGAGTTGTTTTTTTATTATTTTAAGATTAGTTTATTAGATGGAATGGCTTAGTTGGACCAGTTGATCATTTGGTATCTTTAAGTTTTGTTATGTTAAGGTTAAGTGGGTGATAGTACCAAAATAGGTTGGTAACCTTGTTGATATATAGATAGAACTTGAGTTAGAGGGCATCATTCATTTAGACAAGATCCCCCTAAAAAAGGCCTTGTTGAAATATAAAATATATCCATGTCAGTGTAAATTACTTGTACCTGATGATGACAAAATCTTGTCGAAACATTGTACATTTGCTGTTATGCTAAACTTATATTAAAGTTTTTATTCATTACCCATTCAAGCCATCTCCAACCATTATTAGTCTCAAAGTGGGTTCCTCGTCATCGATTTTAACCCTTTCTGTGTTGGGCTTTTTTGGAAATAAGTTAAAGAACATCAGGTTTTTGATTTCACTTTTTGATAGTCTATACTTATATGCTAATAAAACAAAAATTATTTTGTGATCTGTTATTATATTTCGAAACAAAATATACTTGATAAAAAATGTTACATATCTGAATTTATATGTGATACATATTATTTCAGTAAAGAATAGAAATGCTTTTTTCCAGTGATAACATTACATAATTCAGAATAAATCCAATATTCTGTCTATGATGTGTGAATAACCAATCAAAAGTTTAGAATGTCCCCCATATGGTTCTCTGAGCCTTTGCAAAGTATTTATGTTGGAAACCCTTTCTTTTCATGGCAGATTTCAAGAAATAAGGTAAGGCTTTAGTGAGCTCGAAAGTTCATATTTTTTTAGACCCAAATACAGCTTAGTTACTGAGCTTGATAAATGATAG